GCGAAGGGGGGTTCCGTTTCTTAAACTGTGTATAATTCTGTTTTGTTTAGTCGATGTTTGACAAACAAATTGGCTCTAATCACCTAATTTACTATCTAGTAACGGAACTTCAAGGTAAATTAAACATTATAACAGCAAATATCTATCATTTCGTGTTCTTCAACATTATCTTTGTGGATACTTTTAAGCAAAATTTATATAAGACACATTTCTATTTCCTAAAAGATCAAACCTTCAAGGAGGGTTCCATGGACCCCTTCGACCCCCCTGGATCCGCCACTGCATTTCAACTGTAAAGGCGTGCTACATTAATTGTTAAAAATAAAAACAAAAGTGGCATACTATTTGCCAGACTGGTTAGTCATTACGCCGCTAATACGTACAACAGCACCCCACCCCAGCACAACAGGGACTTTGACAATTTCTTTCGTGACTTGATTTCAACTGCAAAACCGAATTTTCTTGACCGTATCCGATACGGGAATAATGTTCAAGAAGAAATTTCCAGCTGCAATATTGCTATCTAGTATTTTTCACAGACCCCTAGGGGGTAGGTCTGTGTTCAACAACATGACTGTTTATGGTCTACAGACCATATTCAAATCTGCCGTCATCCTTTTCCATCCTGCACGATAGCAGAAACCTATCTACATGCGCAGGTAGCCAGAGCTCCAAAGTCGTTGAAACTTTTTATTTAGAGCTCGCAGGTTATGTACAGCCGGAGAAATTAARGATGATCTCCGATGAGTGCGCGCTTATTCAGCGAATGGCTCTAATAAGAGAATGTATGTAAGCAGAACAAAAAGCTTTGACAATTTCTTTCGCGACTTGATTTTCACTGGAAAATAGCTAAAACGTTTTATTTTATGTTGGCAACATATGTACAGCCTGAGAATTTAAAGGTTTTCTCCGATAATTGCGAGCCTGATCAGAGAAATCCTCTGATAAGAAAATGTATTAGTAGCATAACAAGGATGTTGAGAATTTCTTTCGAGACTTGATTTTCACTGCTAAACCCAATTTTCCTGCGCGTTTTCGAAAAAGATAATCGATTTTCAACAAGAACGTTTCCAGCTGGACTAGGAATATAGCACTGTTTTTCGTTTTAGTGGACCCAGAAGTCGTTTTTACATGCGATCGATGAAAAAGGTGCATTGTAAAAATATTATTCAAATCATGTCAAGAAACTATTTTTATAAGTTTATTAAGGTTCTAGTTCTTCATCGATACCAATAGCACTTCTAATCCAAGGCTCAAAGTATTGTACTCGTTGATAGACTCCATAAAGGGCACCTCTACCACAGCCTTGGCCCCAGCTGACGATGCCCACTTGAATCCATCGCCCATCAGATGCTAATGAATGAGAGAATAAAATAAAGTGTGGACAAGAGGTCAAATATGCGCTATGTCAAGAGCTCTCTGCCATGCAATCCCTTGAAAATACTCACAAGGGGATTTATGGCAGCCATGCTGTGGGACAAAACAATAGGATATTTCTACTTTGGGAAATGAAAACTCTCAGCYTAGACTGCGAGCAGTCCCACTTTTCCCTCCAGACTTAGTAAAGACGAGTGTTAAAAGATTCCTGTAGTCGCGCGCGGAGATCGGTTGGAGCCGAGGAAGMAGCCGAGTAAGCCACAGCAATCTTGAAACACTCGTCTTTACTGAGTCTGAGGAGGAAAGTGAAAAAATCTCAGGTTGTATTGCAAAAAAATTGCATTGTTACTGCCATGTAAACTTTCTATTCAGGTAGGATTAATTCCCCCCTTCCTTGTTTGCGTTTCATCCACTAAGGGCCCGTTAATTTAGATGAAAAGCAAGGTTATCCTAATACTGAGAACGAGCCGTCCATGTCTGTACTTTCCAAAGGAATAGTAAAGACTTCAAAGCGCTCGACGTTAAACGAAGTAAAAATACTCAATGTTTTTAATATAAAGTAGTTGATCTCATTCTTACCTCTGCAAACCAAGGGCCCGCCACTATCTTTTTCACAAGCATGAGGACCTCCTCTGTGTGGTCCTGCGCACAACATGTGGTCTTTCTTGAAATATCGACTGAACTCTCGATGACTTTCACAAGCTGAATTAGCAACAAGTCGAACAGTTGCCTTTTGTAAGACTATGGATGGGTGACCGCCTCTTTTAATGTTCCCCCAGCCTAGAATATAAGTAACCTTGGTTATTAAAAACTAATTAGCCGTCATGACTTTAAGCCGCACCCACCATTTTAGGGCTTTAGCTTGATAAGTGAACACCTTTTCGTATATTCTCCAAGCCTGAAATAATTATGGGTGTATATAAAAATATTTCGCCGATACGACTTTATGCCGCATGCGCCATTTGTATAACTTACCAGTAATATAGCACTCTGAACCAGCAGGAAAAACAGGTTCTCCTTCATCAGGGCAGATTGTATTCACGTAATTGGTTGGTTTCGCTGGTCGTGCAAGTCGGACGAGAGCTACGTCATATTCGTAGCTTCCACGGTAATAAGGATTAACGACTATTCCTCCCGAAGCAATATCGATTTCTTGCTCCCCGCCTTCCTTGCGATAGAAGTCGTGTTCTCCGAGAATGACCTTCCAGTCTCTGGGGTTTTTGTTATTTTTAAAGCAGTGTGCAGCGGTCAGTATCCATTCCGATGATAAGAGGGAACCTCCGCAGTAAGGGCCGTAATTGTTAAGGTACAAAGACACTTGCCAGGGCCATTCCCCTTGTCTAACATTGCTGGCTTCGACGAGATTCGCCAAGGCGAGTTGACCGTTGTAACGAAGACCACAATCAAAGCCTTGGACACGAAAAGAAAAAGATAAATCCCTAAACATTCTAATAGGGCATGGGATTAGCTTTACGGTCTGGGGACCGGCTAGTCTCACTCCTGAGGCCTTTGGGCTAGAACATTTTTTCTGCATATAAAGGCGGATTTGCCGTCAGGTCCGAAGTCCATACGACGGCTCAGCTTCTGCGGATGTCTCGGGGTATGGCATGAGGGCCCCACTATTTTATTATATTATATTTATATTTTATTATTTTATAAAATTTATTTTATTTGACGTGGGTTTAAATTACATTGTATTTACATAAAATTTTCTACTCTGTTTTTACATCATTTTCTTTATATATTCACTGGATTGCTTACTATCAATCACGTGACTTTTTGGAGTTGACTTGGGGGCAAACAAGCGGTTGACTGAGGGGCAACTAGTGGATGTTAAGTCAAAACATGTCAAAATAAGTCTTCAAACTATTGAATTTGACTATTTTCACGATATCAAACCAGAAAACAAGAGATCAAAGCAACCTCCAGGATTCTACAAGCCATCAAAAACGCAGCTATTACCGGAAGTGACGTCTATTGATAGCAACCTATTGAACCCCTTTAATTGCTAATCGTTTTATAGAGTGACTACTAGTCTAGCTGTATTAATTTTCTTTCTTTTACATTCAGCATTACCAGTGAAGCAATCATATGCATGAATACTCACGTAGTTTGGGCYGTGGTCGATTGACGATTGTCTTATAACCACATTCACGGCAGCTCCTTGGACAGGCTTGAATCATCCAATCACGGCTCCTGAAACACTCCCATCTGTTGGCCCATTCTTCACACAGATGAGTCTTGTCCATGCAGTCTGATAAAGGGGTACTTGAAATACCTGGTATTACATCGAATAAATAAGAAAAMAATGGAAAAAAGGTAAAAGGAAGCAGAAAGAAAAGAGTGTAGGAAGAAAGGGAAGAACAAACAAGCAAAAAAGCCATAAACTCTGAGGATTACCTTCAGCGCAAGTGTAGAGTTCTACTCTCAAACAGATTAGATTCCATCGTACAGGATGAAACTTTACATATCTGGCTGGGAAAGGATAGGCAATTTGGTTGGTTTGTGTCTGATCTCTTCGCAAGTTTCCTGTAAATTCCTAAACACAACCAAAAGTGAAATTTAATGATAAGGCTCAGGTCAAAAGTCGAACTTCACATGTGCCGAACCTAATTACATCAAAGAAAACCGCCTTGTTATCCATTGTTTCAATTAGTTTCGGCTCGTGAGGTTTGACGTTTGAGCTGAGCCTAAGTGTCTTAGATTTCGTAAAAGCAGATTCGTTTTTTTTTTTCCTTTTTCGTTCAGAACCCGGCAACATTCCATTGATGATAAACTTCTTGCTCTCGGCACCAAAATTCAATTAATGGATTAGGCCAGAAAATGGTACATTGACCCCCTATAACTAAGACCTCCCTACCCCCTCGCACGGTTACGGTAGCGCGTGGTAGACATCATCAATGACAGCGCGCGAGATTCGAAAGGTCCGAAAAGATTTCGTATTAATAAAGAAAATACTTAATTAAAAAAACACTTAATATTCGATCACCTCACCGCACAGCACGGTAAGTCACGCATAGTACATACGACAACTTAGTTTCTGCACTAAATCTACTGTTGCTCTACTCTATCTCTTTAATATTGTAAGCGCCATATCATACCTTGATGGAGCTAGTGTCGTCTTCATAGTATGGATAAAAGGTTTTCCCGTCGTTGCTGTAGGACAGGGTGTAGGCTTCAACCACCTCCGCACTGCGATAACGCGACTGGGTTTGTACATGCGTGATGACTACTGTTTTACCGAGATCAATCTAAAATAAAAACGACGTACAGAATACAGTTAGCTGAAGGCTCTCTATGTTATGCAACGCCTTGGATTTGCGACTTTGGAATTGATGTTGGGAGCATATCAGATGGAATACTTTGTGATGCAGAAATAGAAAACGTGCTCTATCGAAGACCATACGACAACCGTAAAACCTGGTTTTAACCCCAACCCACCTCCATCCCCAGTTATAAGCCCACTAGTCTGCTTACGTAAATATTCTTCAAGTTAAAGGCCCGTTTTTCGATTTYGATTTGATGCACATAATCGATTGAATGAGAAGATAATGGGAATGAATAGWAGTTTTATACACGGCGCGGCGCGTTCATGATTCACATAACAGGTTTCCTTAAATACAGTACGTGCCTTGTGCATAATATGATAGGCGTTTTTCAGTTCAATATCATAATGAATAATAATTTTTAAACATAGCTTTATAGCTGCGCGTGGGCATAATATTTTACATATAAAATAGTTAATAGTTTAGACAACTGTTACACTACGTGCAGAGTAACGAAATAGCGCAGTTTTCGTATGACTGTGAAAAGTTCACGGCAGGAACACGGTCGTGAAACAGCAAGGGATACGCCAGATCAATCACATTGCACGAGAATTTACTCTCCATCCAATCAAATACCCGGAACACGGCATAAACTCGGCGCGGGCACGGTCACGGCAAAATCACGGCACTTTTAGACCAATCATATTGCGCGTGAAAAAAATCAGCCAATTAAAATTCTAGAAAGTATCACGGTCACGGTACGTCACGCTTACGGCACTGAGCATTTCACAGTCATACGAAAACTGCACTCTACCTGTAGATACTCGGTAGCACTCTGCCGTCCCGCGCACCACGATCCTATGTAGTTATTTGTCCCCCGTCGTGCATCACGTGAATTCAACCGTGCCATGAACGAAGGTGCATACCATCCTTCAAGACGACGAAACGACGAAGCACTGAAAGCTCGATCAGGGATATGCCCGCTTTCGATTCCTACAGGAATAGATGTTCTGCAACCCACTAAAATCGATTGAAACAAAAAATTGTCATGGATGCTTGTAAATACAGAGTAGGAGTCAGTTTTGGGATGCGGGAAACGATTTGTTTCAGAAAGTAAGGATTTTTTGAATAGTATAGGGTCGTAAGCCCTGCCTCCAATCTCCAGCCTGGAGGACAAGAGAATCACAGTCTTTGTGAGGTCTTTACCCTACGAAAGTCAATAAACTTACCAAATTCATTCCTAAGGACTGGTTGATATCGTCTTCTGGTTGGACGAGTTTCTGGTATCGGTGTTCCACTGCGGGTACTTACTAAACAAACAAGAGAAACGAGTTTGATTCAAGAAAGTAGTTCAGATTTTTTTAAACCTAATATTCCAACTTACTGCAAGCTCCACAGGTTCTTTTACAAAGCTCCAATGTGTATTTATAATACTGTGAATGTCGATCACAGTATCCCTTAGCTTTGTACGAACGGCAATGAGTCGGGTAGATGTCCTTACAAACAACTGTATAGAAAAGTAATAGTGTCAGGCGACAATCCTTACGTAGGTATAAGGAGCAGGGTTAGAAGAAGCTCAGTGATACTCAAAACACGCAAGAGATCTCTGAGCTCACCGCGAATAACATAGTTACAGGGCACAGATAACAAGGACAGTGGAGTACCCTRAAAACTGGGGGGGGGGGRGGAGCTAAAATAAAAWATATAAGAGTGTGCAAAAGGGTAAAAGTGTGCGGGGAGGGCGTTGATAAAGGAAAATATAGTGAATATTAGCGAGACGTGGGGGTACTTTAGCCCTTAGCCAGTCCCCCTCCGCGCAGCCCCTGTATGTATGTCACTTAGTCTCATATGTATTACTTTCGTTACCTAATGGTTCAGTGACTACTACTGGTCTTCTCGTCGCTGGATATGGTCTTCTTGTTGCTGCCGGCGGCCGTGTGCGGGTGTCTGGTTTATCTACAAAAAGCACATCACATACAAGTAAGTTACAAAACTCCTAACGGCTGAACTACYGCTTCTGCGGTACCAGCTCTGACTTTAACTTTGACCAGCAATTTAGGTTCGTCCGCGCGGGACGGCACGGTACGACACTTCCGTATACAATGAATGTCAGGAATGTCCGCTCACCACGCGATATTCTATCTGTTTATACTATAGTCAGTCAGTTACCTTTACAAAGACCACACGTGGCTTTGCAATGTTCTTTAATGTTGTTGAAGTATATAGACCTTGGATCACAATATCCTTTCTTTTTCCATTCGCTGCAAGCCGGCGAAACGTCTTTACAAGCGGGCACTAAGGTTGGATTACRATGCATAAAAACATGTTATTTTGTCTTATAAAACAATGTCTCGAAGCAAGCATCTTAGATATTAAACTGGAGCCAAGTGGCACTAGCTAACTCACTGAAGGTGAGCTCGGATACCGGAGCGCGTAAGAGGTGTTACAGGGAATTGAGATCAATTGAAACTCTAAGATGAAATGATAGAAAGTCTGCTAATAAGTACCACAATGGTGGTCAATTCCAGTGGAAATCGGCAATGCGCGCGAATGCAACATCCAATTTTAACATATATTTCATATATTTAGCAGTCATAATACTTTCACGGTGTCTTTTGTATTTAGAGCTCCACAAAGCAAGCAAATGTATTCTTAGTCGACAAAAAAAAAAAAAAAAAAAAAAAAAAAAAAAAAAAAAAAAAAAAAAAAAAAAGGAAAATAAGGAAAAGGAAAGATAAAATCCGGAAAGCACGTGTAATAGTATATCAGTCGGACCTCAGTCATAAACACTGAGGTAGAAACCTAAGTGTCCGCATAGCAGGTTCACCTTTCAAGTATTCGTGCGTTAATCGATTATAACAAGTACAAAAATGCGCTTTTCAGTAAAACGTTTCTTACAGCAGAATCGGCATGTTTTGGAGCAAACTTTCTTCATATAGGAGTAGTATTTTGATGATCTTTCGCAGAACCCAGATATCTTCCACTCAGGGCATCTGTTATAGCTGTCCTTGCATCCTGAAGATAAGATAACGAATCATAAGTGCACGACTCTTTAACCCTCTAGTCTACCCTCTACAACCGGTGTGGTCCGGGTTCGTGCCCCGGCTCAGACTGGATCTCATATCATGAATGACAGGGCAGAAAACGGTTTTTGGCCTTTCGCCATAAGGACAGCTTTACGTATTTTTAAAAGCTCAATATTTCGTAAACACGTTCTTTTGGAGCCACATAGAAAAATATCAAATGCGACCAAAATTYATTGAATGCGTATTTGAGATRTAAAACCGTGTACTTTGGGAGAGCTGATATTTTGATGCAGACAAACTGCCATTTTCGTGAATACTAATAATTAGCTTTTACTCTAATTCGGCAAAATTTCGTCACAAGTTTCGAGCAGCAGTGACACCAGGGGCGGATCCAGGATTTTTTCAAAGGGGGGGGGGGGGGTTATAGCATTGATTGAGGTGGTGGAGAGATATAGCAGACCAAAGGGTTAGGGAGACGATTATTTGCTGCAGGCGAGCATGGTTTCAGGTCCCACACACGRCGCATAGAAAAAAAAGCAAGAAATGTGTTCGGCACCCCTGTTTTAATAAAACTTGCGATGCTGTTGGTGTTGTTAGGAAAAATAAAAATAAAAATAAAAAATCACGATGGCTGTCTTAGGGGGGGATTGCAACCCACAAAATCCACCCCCCCCCCCCCCCCTAGATCCGCCACTAGACACAAATGGAACTCTTAAAAATTTGGAGTTAAATTAAAAAAATCGTGAAAGTAGCGGGCTGGTGGGAGTGGCGGGTTGTAAAATAAAAAATATATATATAAGGCACGTTTGTGTTTTTAGCAACTGGATCACAAAACGCGGTTTCAATTTTGTTCCAATCAGAATTTAGCATATTACATGTCATTCGGCTAACGCATTATTTTCAGACTCTTTTTGTTCATGTTTTGCCGAAGAAAAATGTTCTGAAGCACATACTATACCGCTGAGGGGATAGAATAATCGCCCTTAATGCTATGTCTTAAGGTAAAGCCGGTCACGTACACGGCAAGGGTCATGATCATGTACATGATTATGATTGCGTGTCACGAGTTTGAAGTACGCATCTTTACAAAACAAATCAGCATGACTAACTCATAGGAAGACTTGGTTCATAAATGACCATAGCATAAAAATGTGTAGTTTCCCTCGCAACCGTTTTTAGTGTCGGTCGTCACGCAACCGACACTAAAAATGGTTGCGAGGGAGACTAAAAAATGTGCAGCCTGTGTGCAAACGTTTCCCATCCCTACCCCTGCCAGTGAAAAAGTTTTCTTACAGACAAACAGGAACGTCATAAGCACTCATACGTCACTATACAGGAAGCTCTAACAGATAAGGTTAGGAAAGCCCTAAAGGATTTGCTAATTTATATGACAGACATAATATTGGATAGAATAGTTTTATCTTCAACATCAACGAAGTGTCTACCTCAAGCGAAGCGATCAATTGAGAGATTTGTCTGGATACTCATTTTGACTGCATACTCTAGACTCGAGAGCGCGATAAGATCGTCTTTAGGCTCTGTTGCTTTGTTTAAAGTGTTAAATGTTAATGTTGATAGAGAAAGTTCACCTTGGGATCAGCGCATATCACTCGATACTTCTCTGTGAATAGCAACATGAAATAACAGTGCAGGCATCTGTTAGAATTTTGATGCGCAGTTATGAAAATCTAGATTTAGATTATTTTGCGCGTTTCAAATACAGACTGGTTCTTGACCTTAGCCCACAGAAAGACCAACGCTGATACTTGACAACCTARGTCTACCTAGTTAGTACTTATGATAAACCCCTGGATCAAGATCCTTCAATCTTCCAAGGCTTTGCATTTGTGGACCATTAATCCTGGGCATTAATATGGGGTAAATGGAATACTTATCACCAATTAAGTATGTCTATTGATCTCTAGGATACATACGCTTATCGCTTTGGCATCGAATTTTATTGACTTGTTGCATGTGCGCTGCTCTAATGTTACTGCTATAGCACACGAAATCAATTTTTATTTTGACAAACTATTTGGTACCCAGTTTGATCGCGTGCTTTTATGCGCATCATAGAATTGCCAGAGTMGTGCATGATCAATCGTTTTTCCTCCCTGCCCTACGCCAATGGTTGCCGTGCCCCTATAAGGTTTAACCGTTTAAGAGTACAGTATACGTATTCTATAATCTTAAGGAAAAAATAAAGTGTGAAGTGTAGAGCCATATCTATACACCAGATAGTAGCTCCGGTATCACAAGGATAAAAAGTCACAATAGGCTATCGAATGTGGAGAGGTATAGCCGATCAATGCCTTGCCGACTTGCACTATCGACGCATATCTGATACCAACTGCACCAACATCTTGAATGTAAGACATTAACACTCTCAAATCTTGATATCAGATATCATAATACCAACGTAGTGAGCTCGACACACGCGTAGTTGTGTCTTCAAAACTACCAAGATGAAAAGTGAATTTAAAAGCTTCTTAATTACTTGCCAAACAAAAGTTCCAGACAACATCGAGAAGAATTTCTATTACCTTTGAACTGTCCCCATTTATCGCCAGGCACACATTGCCAGCCTAGTATCGTATTAATTGGAATTTGTTTTAAAGCTATACTAACGTCATAATTTGGCTATAAATTACTGCATGAAGTCTTTTTATGGGCGGACAAAGCATTTTAACTGTAATAAATATGATAATATGTCTTTTTGCGTCTAGGGAAGACATTGAAAAGAACAAGAGCTGTAGTCTAGTACATTCGAGAGACGCGAGCTCCACTACCCCGACTCTTCTCGAACTAATATTATTTACTACAAATTTTCTGTAATACAATATTCAAGTCAAAGAATTAGCCGTCCCAATGTTACCTCGTCTTAGCTTAAACTCTTCAGTCACTAAAGATTTAGAAATCAGTCGCCATTAGTAAAAGACTGTAAAGCGCAATACGTAGTAATTAGCTTACGCGTTATCTAGAGTGGGGGATTTTCCTTGTTTCACAACTTTAAGAAGTTTTCTTTGATACAACTCTCACTTACCTACTGAAGAGCAAACAAAACAACCAAAGACGAATCCCAGAACAATAACAGCATGTTTAGATGCCTTCATGTTCTCCCTACCAAAGATATATCTATTTTATCCTGAGTTAGGCCTTAAATCTTCTTGTTTGTTTTCTTTAAGTCTCTAGTACGTACTTTCAACCAGAGAAGCCGGTGTTATCTTGGCTCAGTGGCAGGAAGAATGGGCTCGACACGTAAAGCGCACGGGAAGTGTGTGACAGGCGTGATGACCGCCAAATTTTGGCCTCTCGCCGGCTTTTATGGCTGTGGTCGGAAGAATGGCAGATGATGTGGCAAACTGATTTGGCTTGGTCATTAATAAGGGCGGAAAATAAAATCATCCTTGATTGTTTAAGATACGCTGGGTTTCTTAAAGTCGTTTTTTCCTCGGTTCTTCTTCCTTTTTTTCGCTTCTCTATGTTTCATTCTTCCTTTCTTTCACTTTTCAGTTCTTTTACTATACGATCTGGGAAAATTGGCTCTGAATGTAAAAAAACCCAGCAACGTTGAGAAAATGCTTTGATTGTCAAAAAAAGTGATTGCTCTTCTTGTTTTTGTTCCTATTTTTCTTCTTCCTCTCCAGTGTTCTTCCTAGTCGCGTCAGTCATCATTATGTCTTTCTTCTTCACCGCCATTCCATCACTTCGTAATACCTTTTTAAGGGTTAAAACCCTTTAACCTTTTAGACCATCCAAGCAATTGTGCACTATAAATAACCACTTTGCAGTAACTTTACTGCATGGGCTACCTGTTTACTCCTTACTCCAGTACAAAGAGAGAGTCTGGTTTTACGTATCCCAGCATGCCATTGGGTCTCATTTTCCAAGATGGCGAACAAGCGTGTAGTTTACGTTGGAGGTTTAGCAGAAGAAGTTGATGAAAAAGTCCTTCATGCTGCTTTTATCCCATTCGGAGACATAACAGATGTACAGATACCAATGGACTACAGTACTCAGAAGCACAGAGGTTTTGGTTTTGTGGAGTTCGAGTTCGCTGAAGACGGAGCGGCCGCCATTGACAACATGAACGAATCAGAACTTTTTGGAAGAACAATTCGAGTTAACCTTGCAAAACCGATGAAAATCAAAGAAGGTTACAGTAGAGCTGTGTGGAGTGAAGACAGCTGGTTACAGAAGTATGCTGGGCAGACGGAGGAAAATAAAGAAGTGGAAAAAGGAGCAGGAACTGGCGAAGCTATGGAGATCGAGGCTCCTCCGAAAAAGAAAGGCAATCCACGAGTGTATTTCGATATTAACATCGGTAATCGAAGTGCTGGGAGAATAGTTATGGTTCTGCGTTCAGACGTTGTTCCTATGACTGCGGAAAACTTCCGTTGTCTCTGCACACACGAAAAAGGCTTTGGATACAAGGGAAGCACTTTTCATCGTGTTATCCCACAGTTCATGTGTCAAGGAGGGGACTTCACRAAACACAATGGAACAGGAGGAAAATCAATTTATGGGAACAAATTTGAAGACGAGAACTTTGTTCTGAAGCATACCGGTCCTGGAACGCTGTCAATGGCCAACTCAGGCCCGAATACTAATGGGTCTCAGTTCTTTTTAACTACTGAAAAAACGGACTGGTTGGATGGGAAGCATGTTGTCTTTGGGAATGTCGTTGAAGGAATGGACGTAGTAAGAAAAATGGAAGCTGTTGGGTCACAGTCGGGGAAAACGTCAAAGAAAGTTGTGATTGATAACTGTGGAGAACTTTAGGGCCTGGGTTTCTGATACTAGGTTTGATATCATGGAGTACATTATACAAAATCTTTGAAAAAGACAAAAAATGATCCTACCAGGTACGATCTGGTAGTACTCCCTACTATCAGTAGGTCTGGAGCTACAGGGATTTCAAGTGTACGTTATTTGGATTATCTTCGCTGTGAATCAGTCAAAAGTCAGGCAACAATTTTTAAGAAACCCAGAGCTGTGATTGATGAATAGTGCTGCACACAGATTTAAAAAAAATAGGCTCAAGACTCAAAAAAACATTCATTCTGTTTAACCCTGTTGAGTGTTATACAAACCGATTTTATTATTTTTATTTTAAGTTAGAATAATAAATGGAATAGCTTAAGATCTACTGCCATCGGTTATGAAAATTATCTGCTGAAAGTGAAGTATGAGTTTGTCTGATTTTCACATTTCTTTTCTTTTTTTTTGCATCTTCTGTGTGCTGCACTATTTATAAGACTGCATACATTAGCATATGAGGTAATAAGTGTGGCATGGTTGGCTTAGTGGTCTACTGCTCGCCTCTCACTGCTATGGTCTGGGTTTGGGCACTGACTTAGACTGGATCATATGTCAGTTGAGTTTGTTTGATGTGTTGTTCCCTCCCTCGCCACGAAGGTTTTATCCAGTTTCCTCCCTCTTTAAAAATCATCATGTGAGTTGAGTGTTGTATGTTGTAAACCTCAACTGAAGGGCCCCATGTGGGAGTGGTGACTGTAAAGTATAAGAAATATAAGGCAAGTTAATGTTTTTAGCAACTGGATCACAAAATGCAGTTTCAATTTTCTTCCAATCATAAATTAGCATTATAACGCATTATTCTTTTTACTGTCCTTAGATAATAAATAACCAAATTGCCTTGTAATCTCGTAGTACTCTTTACACACACATACATACATAGAGTGCAAACAATTAATCCGTGAATAGTACAAAATAGTGCTAATTAAACAATAGAAAACAATGGAATTTGCATGAAATTGTGCTATTTAGTATTACTAAAGTGTCACGGTTATATTGTTTGCACTCTACTTTATTTAGCACCATAGACAAATTAGAATTATACTTTGAATATTAATATGAATATTTATGATAAGTTAGAGTCCTCACACGAAATCCGTGTAACAAATACTAATTTTTAGCACTAAATAGTGATAATTAAACAATAGAAAACAAAGGATTCTGTATGAAATAGTACTAATTAGTACTATTTAATGTTCAGGGTTTTAGTGCGTGCACTCTATTTACAATAGCCATAAAGGCTATGCTATGTAAATAACTAAATCAATGTTATTTCTAATAGGATATTGCCACACAAAAGGTTATGAATACAATAAGAAAAAAGAAAAAAACACAAGCACTATGAAAGTACTATAAAAACATGCATGGATCAGAAAAATRTAGAATAGGTTATGCAGTACTAAGTGATATGAAATGTGAATCAAGTGGAATAAGATTTAATTAGTAAATTATCAATTAGAGTGAAGTCATTAAACATGTGAAATAGATATTAGAATAACACACTTTAGTAGACCCTAATTCCAATGTTTTCTTTTGTGTCTATTTGACTGTTACACGTTGACTAGTAAATTTTATTTCACGGGTTAAATGCCTTCACTCTATAGAATTATATTTCGTCAGATTTTTCAGGGATTTATCAATTTCATCCAATATTTTAGCTCCCGTAAATTYGATGTTGAATTTCCCATAGCTGTACGTCTGTACGAGACTTGCGGCTTAGTTAGATGCATGTCCTTCATAACGCCTAAATATTTGATTTGATGTTCATGTTTTAGGAACAACTTATTGTTGGTCAAAAGCTTTTTCCTTTGCTTTTTTAAAACAGATACTGTGTAGTTGTTTGTGGGACAAGATTTAATTCCACTGGGAAAACTAATGCAACGATCATTGGTTCGCTATATCTGAGTGGGAACCACGAATATCGGAGGGACGTGAAAGAAACACGTGAGTAGTTCAGTAATTCCTGGTAGTGACCACCCTCCGTGTCTACACTTAGTACTAGCGCGCGAGTAAAGGCATTTAACCGCGAAATAAAAAAATACTAGTCAATGCGTAATAGTAAAATAGACACGAGAAAGCAATGGAATTACGGACTACGAATRTGTATTAGTCTAATATATATCTATTTCACTCTCACTATCTCATGTTCGTACCCAGATTTCAAATAGAAAGGGCGCTACATCCATCATAAATCTTTGTGGGAGCAGCCGATTTGAAATCATTTTAAAGGTGAGAATGAAATAACAAAAGAAAATGCCACAAATGACTAAGAAAAATATCCTATATATTGCAGCTAATGGCATGTGACATTCTCAACCACGATGTTACGCAAAACTTGACTCTGTTGATACTGTCATGCATACGCCGCGCGGTAAAGGCCGTTAGTTACGACTACTGAAAAGGGATTCCACATGCATCAGTTCAAATTTTGATATAAGTACAACCAACCGTCGCCACCCCCCCCCCCCCCCCCCCCCCCCCCCCCAAATAGAGAGAGATAGAAAGAATATATATACACTTATTTCTTGAACAAAGTTAGTCACCAAAAAAACAAGAAAGCTGAGATCACTGAGGATCATGGGAAACTTTTAATATCAAACGAGCAAAGCTTTTGATACAAATTGCAGCTTGAGGATGCTCAGAAGAGGTGAGACTGTAACTGGTAAAAGATCTAAAAGCCATCAACAGTTATTTTAAAAAGCGGTTGAAACATGTAAAATGTAACTACCCATAATCCTTGTTGGTTTCAGCTTTGTAGCTTTTCGGGTGACTAACTTTATTGAAATAAGTGTATAGAGAGAGAGAGAAAAACGGTACAAAGACTACAAGTCGAGTCTAAGGAAAAGCAAAATGCAAATATATAGCAAGAAAATAACGAATGCGTAGCGATAGAGGAACCCACGGCTTTTAATCACTTATTCTCGCCACTATAACATTACACTATATCATTACAAAGCATACTCATATTTTTTTAAATTAACATTGTCAAATTGCCAAATATTGTTTATTTTTGTGGGGCTTTGACAGAATTGAGGACGGCGCAGRTTTATAACTCCAAAGACGTGCAAAGGAACCAAATGTAATGTTAATGCTGACGTCTTAGGTCCCACTATCTATAAAAGAGCAAAACACCTTTACAGTGGCGATGAGAAAATGTATATTTAAGAGAACAAAGAGAGTGGGCACTATCGAAGGGCGAATTGTCCAATGAGCAATCGGTAATTTTGAAGTTCTGTGGGAGGGAATTATCATCCTGTTCATCTGTCGAACACAGAGCGGAATCACTGAGGTAAGAAGACGACTGTGAAACGAACTGAAAAGAACATTTTCACGAGCCGAAACGAAAATTGAAAGAAACGGGAAACCTCTAGGAAGAACTCCCGAGACTAACCGGTGATTCCTGGTGCTTCGTTCCGCGGTAAGTATAGCTTTATTCGAACGTCAATGTATTCAAATTTGCGAATTATTTCTGATTAACCACACATCGTTCTAGCTAGCCGCTTCGACGAATTTCTGTTGAACCATAACTTATACTCGATAACTGGAAGCAGGTTGAGGTTACGAATAATATTGAGAGAGAGAAATTCGCCTCAATTAAGCCGTCAAGTTTTTGGTTATCTGCGCTTATTCAAGTTATTCAATTTGGTAGAGAACTGAAGTACGCTGTCATGCGAGCCGTGACCAAACACAAGCCAGAATATCATATTCTGGCTTGTGTTTGGTTACTGAATAATCCTTCATATATGATATTGTGGCTAAAAAAAGACCTTCAGCTTGATCAGCAAGACTTCTGAGATCGCATTCAACACCGGATACCAAAAACCTGAGTTTCGTATGGCAAGCATGCCTGTCATCACGTCTCCTTATTCATAATTCTCCCTCTCGCTCTCTCTTTTCGATGTTTTCGTTTTTGTGAAACCGGTATGTATTTTTGCCAAATCAAAGCATGTATATACACCAACTTGCGAGAGCATTGACACACGAAAATAGAACATTAGTGATTTAGTGAGATAGGAATTATATTAAAAAACAAAAGAAGATCACTGAAGCTGAACTTTTTCTTCTGTCTTTTAATGTATTCCTTTCTCACTAAATTACTAATGTTCTATTTTCGTATGTCAACGTTCTTGCAAGTAGGTGTATACAATGTTAACATTTTCATGTTAAAACGAAATATGATCGGTAAGCAATAGATTGGTAAGATCTTTTTTAGAGAAAATAATTGGAAACACTGATGRCGATAGATGCTACTGAAACGGAAATGGGACGAAAAACAAAGGGGATAAAGAATAATTTTCGTCGTATTTCGACTGAAGTCCAAAAAAATCATTGTCCTGAGAAATGTTCGCAAGACTATTCTCTATTCGCAAGAGTATTCTATGTTTTCGATTTTTTAATGGTGAATACTGATCAATTGGAAACTATACATATACTTTGATTTTTCATCATTCAGTTCCTTTCAAAAAATAAAACGAAACTGGCCTAGTTTTTTAAGTTTAATAAAAATAACAGCGAGACTGAGATTTTAAGACAATTTACAGGTAAAGTTTTGTTTTGACAAGTTTTTGGTCGGTTCTATTTACCGAGTCAACGGCCTCTGAAATATTCGGTTCCTCGGCGATCATGTTGAAACGTAGGAATGTAATATACGTCCTGTTATCATAAAATATACAATACCTTCAATCGTCAACGGTTTTCAAATCAGGTTTAGTTTAGCTTTCAAATATTCAGTTCCTCGGCAATCATAATGGAACAAAAGACCATGCCTTCTTTTCCTCAGTTTGAAAAAACCACCTGACTGTGGTAGAAATTCTTTCCATTTTCCTTTCTTTCTTCCTTTCTTTCAATATTTTTTGTTTATTTTCTCCTATCTTTCTTTCGATTTTTTTCCGTTCTCTCTCTCTTTCTTTCTTCCTTCCTTCCTTTCTATTTTATCTTAAAAAACCGCCGAACAACTGCCAAACCAATGTTAAAAGCCAAAGGTAAAAGAAAAGGGAAAAAAGGAAAGGAAAGGGATAAAGATCAGTATAGGAAAGGAAAGGAAACGGCTGTGGAAAGGTCATGAAAAACTGAAATAAAGAGAAAGGAAGGGACCTTTGGCTAAAGGAAAGGGAGAGAAAATAGAAAGGAATTTTAGGCAAACAGAAACCCAAAAACGGAGGGGAATTAATGCACAGCAAGAGAATATTAAGTAAGCTTACACARCTATAATCATTACAGCGCTTCTCAGTTACACGCGCGAAATCGATTCAATATGAATTCGCTTGACTGACCACGGAACAATAATTTGAAGTCGAGATTGAAATTGATTCTTTTATTCATCAAGTTCAACCTCGACTTGAAACCATTGTTTCGTGAACCAGTCAAGCGAATTCGGGATAGGTCTATATGCCGTCTCGACGACGTCACTGTGCCCTCGAAAGCTCTGTGTTTTCCGACAAYGTCATGGAAATACTTTGGTTGACGTCCACCAAAACCTTTAAATTTTGGGGCGATAGAAATGTCATGCCGTTAGTTGGCTTCATATATCCGAACCCTTGGCCCTTCCTAGACGCGAACCCTTAGTATTTTACTTTACATTTCATACTAAATAAATAGATTCTCTTTTGCTATTTCTTGATAAGTTTGTTGATATAAATGCATCAAAAAAGAAGGAAAGATCTATTTTGATATCCCATACATGTTGTGATCGTGAAGGCAGGTGGACTCGATCRAGATCCCTTCGAACTAACCAATCAGATTGCTTCCTCCGTCCACTCTCACCGACCTATTTTACCGCTCGAGTTGGGAGGAATATTCATAAATTATAAAGAGAAAGAACTTGCACTTCTCTCGGCTGGGAGGCTTGTTTTATTCGAATTTAATCAAAAGAAATGTCTTTAAGAGTAGATTAACGGAATATTTATGAGTTTTGAATCGTAATTTCTCGCTCTTTAGTTTGAGTACCGACTCCGTACTTCAGTTGTTGAAGATCTTCATCAAAACCGTTTTTATTTTTTCCTTCAAAACCACAGACATGGCAGGCCAAAGCTCTTGGATACTGCTTTGTGTGGTTATCCTTTCTGTTGGAGTAACGACGAGGTCTTTAGAGGATTATTACGGCTACTACGACTACGATGAAGCGCTCTTTCGACGTTCAAACCAACAACAAGACGAGAAAGAAAATCTCGAAATAAGAATGCCAGACGTTCACCCAGTAAAAGTAAGAATAACTCTTGCCTTTGCATTGTAATGTGTATAGCTTCAATAGAGAAACAGAAGGTTGATAAAACCTCGTCAACGGTAAAAAGAATTTATTTTAACTGTTATTCATAACATAGTTACTATGTTCATAACGAACGGTCACTAGGTCACTTGTGTTTATCAAGTCGACATATTTGATCGTCCGTTGGTTTGTGATCAACGACTTTTCGTCTAATAACCTCATAAATACTTAAAATCAAACACAAATGATATTTTATTTACTGGATATTGTTTCAAACTTGAGGTTTTCTCAGCAAGATTTATGACATATTTTATCTAATTTATGACATATATTTGATATCGTGGCCTATTTTTAATGGCGGCGCGCCGTTTGAGGTAATTATTCGTTGACTTGTGAACGAGTATCTTTGGCTAGTAACAAAATACACAAGTGTCTATGTCATTTTAAGATATCTGGATTTATTATAACCGCACACAGCACGCGCTAGCATTTTCTATTCCTTCAGTAAATTGATCATAATGAGAAAAAGCTCAAGCATGTTTTTACGTGTATTATGTAGTTCCAAAAGATATATCCAGACCCCATCCACCGAGTAGTCTACCGAGTAGTATGAAGGGGGGGGAGGGGGGGTCAGAGAAAGAACAAAGTTTGTATGGAAGAAAATTAGAAGTTCCTGGGGAAAGGGGGTCTTTTTACAAATGGTAATATGAATATTTTGTAGAAATACACATCACTACATGTATGAAATAATGGACTTTCCCTGCTATCAGAGCCTATTTTCCTTTTGTTTTGGTGGAGCGAGAAAAATAGACTTTGCTGAGGATGTAGGACATTATACTTGTTGCGCCTGTGTGAGGTAACTTAGCAATGCTGTCATGATTTTGACAGCTGCTCTCGTCAAACAATGTTTCGTTACACAGAGAGTCACATTTGCTCATGCGCACTACATGTACCCGGTTATAAACCAGTTTTAAAACTCGTTTTGTTCGTCCATTAGGCTCAGAATGTATTGAAACTGCTTTCATTATTAGTGTGCGACCCAGCTAGACAACTAGTGAGACATCAGGGTCTAGATTCTAACATTGAATCAAATTTGAAAAGTCCAAATTGGTATTGACCAAGCTTTTGATTGACTAAATCAAAAACCAGATGCCTTTGGCCGTTTTAGTTTACATAATCGTGAAAACAGGTGTCAAATATACCATATGGACAGTTAAGCAATGGTCAGAGTGAATCCAACCAAGCAATGACACACTAGCCTTTTGTAATTTATCTAAAATTTGAGGATTGGAACAAGTTTTCATTTCTGGTCTCATTAAGAAGGATAGTAATATTTTGYGTATCACTTGGGTTTTGTGCTACCATGGAGATTGAAAGAAAGCTTAAGTATTTATTTGCTGTTAAAAAATATGCAATTATACAAAAATTCTGTAAACAGGCTTGATTTTCTCCAACCCACTCCCACTAAAGGATTATACTGTGTCATCTTTGCGAAAATGTTGAATATTCTTATTGTTTAAATTTTAAATACAGGATATAGGTAAATGAATAAATGTGATTTACTATTTATTGCATGCAGTGTCACTGTATCCCATTAGAACTCATTGTCAAGAGAGAATTTAAGCCTTTGACAACAGGAATCCCAAAATTTGGGATATATATTATGTATATCATATATATTATATAGTTATAGTTATTTATATAATACTCTGTGGACAGCTTCAAGTTCCTTGTTGCTCAGGGTTAGTCTTGACTTTGTGCAGAATATTCACATCTTCCAGTCAAGGTCCGTTGGAGTTTCAAAGTGTTTGATTGTATTGTTGAAACTTTGTATATTCTTTATTTTACATTGGTATTTGTTAAAATATTATGACACTGTACAAGGCTAATTCTGGGTAAATGAGTCTGTAATGAACGACACAGTCATGGTAATTAATTTGACGCTGGAAAAAGGCCATACATATGAATGAGATCTCTTATATTTGTTTTAATTTTTTCCCTAGCATGATTCATACTTTTGTACTTCAATGAAAGTGAGTGATGCTGACACTTATATAGGTAGGTACTCTTATTCAAAAAGCAATTAAATTTTATTTAAATTGCTAATTTAAAAAAAAACATCTAATGAAAGTTAAATAAGTTGATAGCTATTGTTTCTGCCAAAAATACCAGTTATTATCATATGACCTGTATCTGCCCGGGCGTGGGCTCTCAGAAAAATCTTCAGGAAAATGGGGTGAGCAGGGCCGTATGAATCCGTATGGCCCTGCTCGAATCCACACGCTTTCTCTTTTTATGCTTTTATTTACTATTTCTTTCTTTCTTTTATTTTATTATTTTTCTTTTTGTGAGGGTGATATAATAAAATGCTTATTGACTGAGTTAGGTCGGGCGGTACGGGAAAATATTTGGCTCTTGGTCATTTGTACGGACCAAGCTACGCTCGGTCCGTATGGCATCACCTTGAGCCAAATATTTTCCCATACGGCCCTCCCACTCAGTCAACAAGTACATAAGACTGACTCTCTCCAAATCAAATYGGTGGAGAATCATGATACTCTATTCTTAAAGGATGATTTGAAATGCAAAAATGTGACACAAAATTTGACTCAGAGTATTCCTTATAAAAACTGTTGTAGATAGTCTGCTAAGATTAAAACAGTTTTAAGCCAGTTAACAAACCAGTTTAATCATCATATGGCTAATACCATGTGTTTTTGCTTCTGTTTTCAGTGGGATATAATCCTCATGCAGAAATGCACACTGCACATCATATGTTATTATTTGGTTGTGAAGTCCCTGCAAGCCAAGAAAAATCCTGGTAAGTCTAAAGTGACCATTCATAATTTGTTTGCTGTGTTATTTTGGTCGTTTCTATTATTCATAAAGAGTTCCTAAGAAATACTATTCATTGACAATTAGACACTTAAACGGAATGGTCTACAAGTTAATAGTTATAGTTAAGAGAACACAGAGGGCCACATTTTTGTTGTAATTATGAATATCAAAATGTCATCCTTTCTAAATAAAGTTGCTATTATCTTTGAATGGATCTTTATCTTCATTGTCTTCTCACCCAGGAACTGTGGAGATATGGGAGTTGGGGTTTGTAGAAGTGGTTCAGCAGAAAAGATCATGTATGCATGGGGAAGGAATGCACCAGTGCTCAAACTTCCTAAAGGTATTAAATAGCCCTTAGATTAAAAGAACAAGTCAAGGAAAAAGAACACATATTTTGTAAAAACGTACAAGATCTTAAATAATTTGTTGTTGCTATAGGGTGGCTCAAAAATGTACATGTATCTTAATTAACATAAAATTTGGTTACCAAGAAATATTATTTGGGAAGCACGTATCATCTTCATTACCACCATCATCATCACCAACACCATCATCATCATCATCATCATTATCATCGCTACCACCACCATCATCATCACCATCATCGTCAACATCATCACCATCATTATCATCATCATCACCACCACCATCATCATCATCATCATCATCGCTACCACCACCATCATCATCAACATCATCATCATCATCATCATCACCATCATTATCATCATCATCACCCTCTCTCTTCATCATTATCATCATCATCATCATCATTATCTAACCAAAACAATTCTATCCCATATTTTCAACCACATCTACATTCGTGTATCATGTCCATGTCATTCTTTTAAGTGTAATCTATTGACAGTTAATCTAATAAAGAAAAACTAATTATTAATGATATTTTATTGGTTTTATTACTAGATGTTGCTTTTAAAGTTGGTGGATCAACAATTGTCAAATACCTGGTCCTACAAGTACACTATGGACATGTTGATAAATTCTTGAGTAAGTGCCAGCCCTAATTATCTGGTTCCTAGAGGTAGTAGTGTGGATATATAATAGCATTCCTGTATTAGCCACTAGTCAACTTTCCTTTTATTGAGCTACAGGCTACATGTAGCTCAGTTGGTTGAGAAACAGTCTGTTGTATAGAAAGTCATGGGTTCAAGCCTCCGTGTCTGGACCAACACTCAGGGTCTTAAAAATAAGAAAGCAAAAAAACCTTGCTATTTGGGGTCCTGGTTTTTTTCCTGGACTTGGCATCGCTTGTGATTATAGTTTGTTAGGTCTCTTACCTGACTCAAATGTTTTATTGTTTTCCTAAGTCTGCAAACCCCAACATGATACACTCCTATTCAATCTGGTTAGCTGTTTCCTTACTTTGATCAGCCCAGAGGTCATTTTGGGGTTTGATCTGTAAGCTAGCCTTACCCTGACTTAAATCAGCCCAGAGGTCATTTCAGATCTGTGAGTTAACCATGCTGGGGTTTGATCTATGAGTTTGCTGTACCCTGACTTTGATCAGCCCAGAGGTTGTTTCAGGGTCAGATAATTTTTTGTGAGTTAGCCAGGTCCACACCTTAAGTTCAGGTCTGAGGTTTATTTGAAGCTTGAAACATGGATAAATCTCTCATCTAACCCATATATTCATCATATTTTATATTCAGAAAATCCAAGTCTAAAGGATCAATCTGGAGTGACTCTATTTACCACTAAACAGAGGTATGTGAGCAAAATTGACTGTTACGCAGCTAGGTATGAAGTAATACAGAGAATGTACATTTGATTAATATTGCCAGATATTTTTGTTTGTTTGTTTGTTCGTTTGTTCGTATGTTTGCTCGTTTGTCTGTTTATGTGACTAACTGTACTGTCTTATTGTTGTTTGAGTGCTAACATGTTTGGTTCATTACAAAAAGCGCCATTTAATTTTACCATGATATTATTTTCTGTCCAATTTAAACACTAAAAAATAAATCTATTTTACTGCAACTATATGTGAACTAGACAGAAGTACCTTGCTGGAATCTTTCTTGATGCCAATGGATATGGATTGATCCCTCCCTTTAAACCAGGTTAAAATCATATATTAAAACATTTTTAAAACTACTGGTGAACAAAATGCAATTGCAATCTTAGTATATATTTGTGACCATTTGTGAGAAGTGAGAAGATTACTTTAGTTCCAGAAATTATCATATCCCCCACCCCACCCCCCACTCCAAAATTTCTCTGTGAGGGGGGAGAGGAGGAATAGATAATTTCTGGAACTACACATTTGATATATTTATGGGTAGTTACACACTATCCATCTTTTGACTATCAACTCAAGCCTGCAAATAAAATGCTGCTCATATCTCACAGTATGTATTTTTTATCAATTGCATTTTGTTCTTAAATGCTTATTATTTTTTCTTACAATAAATTCCTAAAATAATTCTAAAAACTTATCAAAAAATTTTGTTAGTTTAACTAAACTAGAGTTGAATTTACATCATGATTAAATTTAAATTTATAAACCTGTCCATCTAAAATCCTTAAATTTTATTTTTATTATTGATATTATTACTTTTAAAAAATTTTGGTTTAAGATTATGTTTATTAAAAGTATACTTTTCATTGAAATATAATTTTGATATGTAACTCAAATTTAAAATTTAAAGCTTAGATCTTTTCGCATTTCTTACAATGAATAAATAGATAAACAGATAAATGATAAATAAAAAACAAATTATAAATGAATTAAATGCAAATCATTCCAGTCTGGTGTCCTATACATAGGAAATCATGCATTCTGACTGATTGGCTGTCAGAGCTGGTGGAATTTTTTATCTCTTCACAAATGATATCAAAACAAGTGGGAAAGTAAATTATGGGAAAAATATATTTATTTACCATCTTAAAGTCAGTTTGGAAAGGGAAAACTGTCTCTGCCTTGAAAACGTACCTCTGACAGCCTAATTGCCTTAGTCTGTATATTTGAGACCTTGCGCATAGTTTTTCCGTTTCTGCACCCACTATAAATAATAACCTCTATTAATATATTATTATTATAAAGAGCTATAATTAATAAAGAGAAAACAGATTAAACACCTAAACAAATTTAAAAAACCTAAACTCAAACGAATTGAAAGTTGAAAACATTTAAACCTTGCCAGCCTTACCACAGCATTCTTTTAAAGCATAAAATTTTGTGGATCATTCACTCATGAAAATATTCCTAACTTACTTTATACTGTCTCGTAGTTATAACCAAACTAAACCTTAAACATTCAGTTACACTGATGAAGGTCTTTGTCAATTGTAAAATCATTCAAAGTATCAAAAATGGTGGTCACAGTTTTAAGTTACTTTAGTTTGGTTGTGTGTGCTGCTTTTCTGTTAATTCATCATCTTATGATCAAAACTCGTAACGTGCATCATTGGAATAGATTTTTGTGTGTGTCATGTTTTGGTTCTTTTTTCCTTGTTATTTCACAGTATGCAAGTACTCATTTTTATTATTTTCCCACGAACAGATCTACACATTTAGCAGGCATATTTCTATTAGCTGCAGGCGGTTCAATCCCTGCCCATCAAAAAGGTCTTTATTATCAGACTATCTTTATTACTCTCGTCGTCTTTTCTCCTTGTTCTCTAGAACTCCTTATCTTGCTGGTATCAAACTCTTAGCTGCTGGAGAACCTGGTCYTATTCCTCCTCATCAGACAGGTCTCTTCCTCTCTTAAATGATAATCATAAATAAATATTGATAATTATCTATAGATAAATATACTATTTAATAAGTTAATGAAAAATCTTTTACTAACTCTTAACTTGCTTGCTTGCTTCTTTTTTTCATGCTTCTTTTTTTAACTTCACCAATTTGTTTAAAGTAATTTAAGAATTTTATTGCTTACTCAGGAGCGTTCATAATTTTTTTTCAGGGGGGAGGGGGGAGCTATGGGGGTTTGAAGAGGGTAGCCATTTTCTCAGGTAACTATTAGGGGGGCTATTATGGGAGGCTATGCCGTTACCGAGACTTATCATTAAGAGTAACAATGCAATGGTTTATAATTATTAATAAATTTGTTGAAGCTAGAAAAAATATTGATTATAATAGCCCACTTCTTATAAATATATTTAATTAATTAATAATTCGTTAATTAATTAATAAGTTAATTAATCAATAAGTGTAATTAATGATATCTAGCAGTACGTCTTTGTTTCTATATCCCTATAAGCTATATTTTTTTCAGAAATCCCTTTCTCATAAAAATAGTATTTTATGTTTTTGCTTTTGTTTTTCATTTTCTTTTCTGTCTTTCTTTTTAATTTAAAAGAAATAAGATTAGTCTACATCAAGTCTTTGATAACTTAAGTTGTGAAAAAGAAACTTTATCAGAAGTTATTAAGCCAGTGCTTAATGCAACCTGCAATAGTCTCTTTACCTAGGGCATAATGTTTTCCAATCTCAGACCACATTGTCATTCTCTTGGGAATGAGATTATTTTGTTTGAATTTGTCTTCTAATGTACAACCGTTAGACAAAGAAATGATACTCTAGGAAATGACACATGGTCTAAAATGGGAAAACATTATGCCCAAGCTGAAAGGGTCTACAAAGAAATGATACTCTAGGAAATGACACATGGTCTAAAATGGGAAAACATTATGCCCAAGCTGAAAGGGTCTTTTCCTCCTGTATTTTCAGCCAGTTAAATTTCGTTGTCTTAGTTTTAAGGAAAATACTATTGACAGGCTTTTTAAATGGTTAAATAAATATGATTATATACTAATAAGTTGCATTTGTGACCTTAAACTCATAAACCATTGCCATAATTGGAGTCATCTGGGTTACAAAAAATATAATATGGTGTCAGATTTATTATTATATTATTATCATATCATTGACATATATATATCATTGYTGTGTTCATTACAGCTTGGCATCTGGATGTTGGATGTCAATACGACAATCCTGCTGTTATTCATCCGTTTGCCTTCAGAGTGCATACACATAAATTGGGTAAGGCAGTCTACAGTATCCTTGTGTCATAATTATGATATTTGTCTTCATCTGTATCTTTAATCCATTGGGGGTATGCCCTTCTAGCAACTGACTGAACTGACCAATACCTATATCATTAAACCAACCATATAACCACAATTTTTTTAAATGTAGAAGGGGGAGAGGCTTCGGGGCTACTGGCCTGCAATGTTCAGCAGTACCAACACATTCCCTGGCCAATTGCCAGCTTTGATCATCACTACTTACAGTATTGCAACTTCACCATGTTCATGTAGACCCTGTTCCATCAGCACCATCATGTTTGATCAGCGTAACTTTTAATCCTGAGGTTAACATATTTTATAGGTACTGTGGTCAGTGGATATAGAGTAAGAAATAGCAAGTGGACCTTGATTGGCAAAAATGATCCCCAGAGGCCACAGGTAAGCTGAGAAGGGGGAACTTTATTAACTAGGGGCAGATATACAACCTAACCTAACCCTAACCCTAAGGAACATTATTACAGGGGTTTTTTTTTGGCATTTTGCAAATTTTGGAAGTGAAATATAACCAAAGAATGTAAATCATGCTTTCAAACAAAGTTCTGCATTTACTTCAAAAAAAAAAAAAAAAAAGATAAAACTGAAAGTCTCAGAACACATGGGCTCTTATACAGGAAGTTTAAGAAATCCTGGTCTCAAAAAACGGATTACAGCCTGTATGTCAGAGCCCTTGTTCTTTGCCACATGCCAGAAGAAAAGCAGGCTCTGGCTACAAGATTGGAGACTCCAGACTCCTGGTCACAAGCAGAGGGGAATCACAATTAGAACTCATTTGTACCTCCCCTAGTAAAATACCTGAGATTTCAAAGGAAACATCTAATTCTAACAAAAATAAACTTTTTTCACAGGCATTTTATTCTATAGAAAATGCACCGGAAATCGAAAGGGGTGACTATTTGGTAAGTATTTTGGAAATCATCTTTTTACAGTCAAAGTAAGAAAACCGTGAACGCCTAAAAATATATATGGAATGTTAAACATTGGTGAAAGGGGATACATAAGTGGCACCAACACCTGCAGTTCCCTACTCAGTTGTTTAACATGGAAAACAGTGAAGATTTGAAGCTTGGTTTAACATCAATATTACCTTTATCTTAGGCTGCAAGATGTACTTACAATTCAATGTCAAAAAAGAGAACAACCTACATTGGGTAAGACCTTAGCCTGCAAGCAAAATCTCAGCAATGATGATGATGATGATGATGATGATGAAGATGATGTTGATGATGATGAAGATGATGTTGATGATGATGTTGATGATGATGTTGATGATGATGTTGATGATGATGATGATGATGATGATGTTGTTGATGATAATGATGTTGATGATGATGATGATAGTTAAAAAATGCCTTACATTCCCCAGTGCAACGATGAAGGATGAGATGTGCAACTTCTACATGATGTTCTATTATGATCCGACATCAACAAACAGTGCTCCTGAAGAATCCTGTGGTTACATGCCTCAGCAAATGCTGAACTACTTCCCAGCAGATTCCAATGTACCTCTTCCTGGAAGTGGAGAAAAAATGGAAATGAAGAGAGATTACATTGAAGGTTAGTTTTTGTTCATGCTTTCTAATAACACAGAGATTCYATGACTTGCTTATTAGAGAAGTATTGTTTTTGATGATGGGTTTCCTGTGGTTAGAGAAGAAACTTCACATCCCAAAGTCTGTCTTTAGTTGCAAGCAACACTGTATGAAACTTGATAAGCACCAACTGAAACACAGAGTATTAAAGACCCATTGCCACTTACCGTGATGCATCACAGTTTGTTTACATTTTGAATCGTGTCACCACTGAAAATACAATTCTAACCGTTTGAATAAACTCTTAAAAGAATGTAAAAGAATCATTATTGTGCCTTAGTGCTATGTCGGAAAAGGATTTAATGTGACCTTATTATTCAATATATGAATCTTTGAATTTCATGGACCACGAAATTCATCTGTGACTGCGGTGCAGTGGCAATGGGTCTTTAATTTCTATACTTCATAAAAGGGCCTTTTCTTTTGGAGAAGGGATGACCTTAATGAATTTAGTCTTGATTTCATGGTTCGTGCCAAACATGCCAAACAACCTACGAGGGCACACCTTGTGCCTCTTTATATCACTCTTTGATAAACTAGAATCTTGATGAAGAAGATAAACTTCCTTTAAGTTACATACTAAGAACTTTTCAACAGTTGTTTCATCATTTGGTTACAGGTCATTGGACATCACTTTCAATGTAAACCTTGGTAAATGTTGAAAAAAAAATTTTTTTTAAAGGATATAAATCATTTTTTTCTTGTTGTTCTGGTGGTCACCATGCTTTTGGCCATATATAGTTTAATTAGCTTGTCCAGTTTAAAACTTTGTTGATGGTTCTACATTTCTGCTCTTTGAATCGTGATCATTGTTTGTCTACTGTTTCCTGTTAGAGACTTGTATGACTAAATCATATTGTCAGATCACCCTACTTTCATTTCTGGTCAAATATACTGTCTAGTATCCACTATATGCAAGAATTTCACCTACATGGAATTTAATTTGTCTAGTTTGAGAGCAGCTACAGTATGACAAATGTTTGACATTGAACCCCCAATCATTCCAGACTAGCACAAGTAGTAAAATTATGTTTTCTTCAGGGTACAATGTGTGAGTAATGTTCCCCAGATACCCTGTTGAGCAAATGTTGGCCGTCTGCAGAGTATCTGGGTTATTGAGATTATGTTTTACTTAGTATTTAAGTGATATAACCACAATATTGCATTTATTGTTGAAAAATTGCATGACAGCACTATAATTCCATAAGAATACAAAGCACATTTCATCTTCATTGACTTTCTTGCACACTGGCACTATATTTGCTTTGTGTCTCTCTTTTTCTACTGCACCTTTAATTCTTGGCACCTTAGAAGCATACAACCAACTCTATCTCTTTTGATAGATCCTAGTAGATAGTGCGGGTAGTAGCATGTTTTTAGGAATCATACCATCTGTCACCATGCCGCATTTCAATGCCATTTGCTAAATGCACGTCTCTTTGTCTACTGCTCTTTCAAAATAAAATCTCGGCACCTTGCACCAACCGTTGTAGAAGCACACGTCCAATTCTTGGTTTTCACCTACGTCATCATGAATTTCAAAAGCGTAAATTCGCATTATAATGAAATACAAGTTTCATAATCTTGTAAAGCGATCAAAACTACATATTCTGGCCATATTTCGAGGTTGTAAAATATTTCGTTGCGGAACTATAGGCGAGTAAACATGACGCAATTTTTGGTTAAAATGTATGGAGCGGCCATCTTGGTGTTCCAAGTTGGTACACCATCATGGCGGACGAAATTTCAAAGGCTTAAGATGATGAAATATTTAATAATTTTGACTATATTTCACTTAAATATACTTTAAATAGATATTTAAAATGCGTCTAAGGGAAAATCTTTCAATTAGAGTAAATTATTTTACTATTTTGATCGCTATTTAGATAGAAGTGACAGTATTGCGTGACACAAACTCTACCTTCATAACTCGAGAACCAAACATCGAAATGACTCGAGATTTTTTCTCGTGACTTATAACACTGATTTCTAAACCATATTTGAGAAATGCGTTTATACCATCAATAGTTCAAATTTTTATGTTTTGATGACGTCATGTGAAAACCGGCAATAACTCTACCTCTTTCATAGATTCTATCTAGTGTAGGGACCAATCCTGGTAGCTGCCAGTTACTGACTGCAGTTTCCCTTTGTCCATAGATGAAGAGAGCATGTAAGAAGCTATTGGCATTGGAATAAAAGTGCGCAGCAAACTAAGACAAACCCACCATGGAAGAATGAAGAATTTAGAGATATAAGCATTCAGTATTTAAATAAATTAATGTCTCTAGGAACTGGACTTAAATAACATCAATATTTTGTTATTAGTAACAATTTATTTATTTTTCTTCGGGGTAACTGTGTAAAATTAAGAGAGCATAAATAAGAGAGGGAAACTTCTTAATGATGGGCGTGGCATGTAAATTCCCAGTTGGGCTATTTTTGGTAACCAGATGCAGTTTAAACTTTGCCTTACACTACTCCTGTTTTTCATCAACTTACGCGCATGTACTCTTTCCGTTCATCGTTTTGATCTATTTTGGTCACTAAAAACGAAACGGAAAGGTAGGTAACGGTAACGGAACGGTAGGGTAAGGCAAAATTTAAACTGCATCCGGTTACCAAAAATAGCCCAACCAGGAATTTACGATGCGTGCAAGTTATTAAGAAGTTTCCCTCTCTTATTTATGCTCTCTTGGTAAAATTAATTCACAATTTAATATCAGAATATAACTTTTATGTCACCAGTTAACAAAATATTTAATAATTTTAATAAATGTGGATGTCAAACCTGTATATGTACTGCAAGGATATAATCAATGAACTTTATCCCAAGAGGGTAACTCAGGACAATAATTAGAATTGTCTTCTTGCCTCTTTTTGAATAAAATATGCAGGAAAAGGAAGCCATCACTATAATCTGGTTAATAGACCCCCTTGCATGTGACGTCAAAGCAGCTCGATCTGGGGGACAAAACAAAAGAATTCCAATCTTCTGGGAATTGGAACCTATTGTTTTGTCCCCCAGTTTGACATACTGCACATAGGGGTTTATACTATGAATAACCCTGACCTACATGTAGCTGTATTAGAATAGTCAAAGTTCCACATTAAATGATTCAAATTAAAACTTGAATGTACTATAATGGCTTGACATGTTTTTTATTTGTTTTCATTGATGATCACTAGTAGAATGGGGTAGATTAAGGGACCTAAACAAGCTAATAATTACCTTTCCATATAACACAAATCATAATAGGAAATCATGAGTGTCTCCCTGGAAAATACATCTGACATCACGTTAGATATATATATTTTAAATAAGTTTCATGGATATTTTAGTTTTAGCCCTTTTACACTAATATATTATTTAATTTATAATCCTCCCCCCATTCGCTCACAAATATTATCATGTTAATCCTTCATTAATAGTCTTCTATTTAGTGTTTCCTTTCCCGGCCTTCCCTTGTCGCTTCTGAATTAACTTCCATCCCTTTTAAATCCCACCATCCCTGTCTCCTTCTTTTATCTCTCTTTTAATCTATTATTTGCCTCCTTATCTTCCCCATGTCACAGTGTCTCCATCTATCCATTACAACCCTCCTTTCCTCCTCTCTTCCCATCTTCTTTTGTCTATCTTGTCTCCCCGTCACTGTCTTCATCTATCCATTACAACTCTCCTTAATTTCCTCCTCTCTTCCTATCTTCTTTTGTCTCTCTTGTCTTCCTGTCACTGTCTCCATCTATTCATTACAAACCTTCTTTCCTCCTCTCTTCCTATCTTCTTTTGTCTCTTTCTTTTCCTGTCACTGTCTCCATCTATCCATTACAACCCTCCTTTCCTCCTCTCTTCCTATCTTATTTTGTCTCTTTCTTTTCTCATCCTGTTCTTTTTTCCCTTACACTCTTAACCCCTTTTCCTCTCTCTTTCTCTTCTACTCTATTTATTTATCATTGAATATTTATTTTCAAAAATGTGTGAATTAAAAGTTTTGTCGATATTTCCTGGAACCAGCATGCAGTGATTGCCCAGACCTACTAAATACTTGGCTACACTTCCCCTTCAAAAATAAATACTTGAAAATAACACTTTGGCTTCTCTTCTAGATGATGCTTGTCCCCACTGCAAGAGAACGATCCCACTTTTATCAGTAAAAGAGAATTGGCCACAAGGTGGATCGCAGACTGGCGAACTGCCAATCAAAGCTGGACAAGTAACTGCTGTTTCTTTGGACTCGAAGGGCAATGTTGTCATTTTCCATCGTTCTTCTCGGGCTTGGATGGGCGAGTAAGTTACTGATTAAAAAAAGAACAATATTATTTTGTGGTTACTGTACCTTCATGATATATATATATTTTTTAACTGTGAACACTTCAAGTTTTTTCAGGCTATCTTTTTCTTCCAGTGAACTTTTTACTGCTTCAAACTGTTTAATAGACCTTTTTAGCTTCAAATGCGATTGCTCATTTCAGATCACACGACATTCCCTTGAAAATTGTTCTTTTATGGCAAATATGTTAAAATATTTACACATGAAAGAATCAACTGAGTCACAAGAGTGGCATCATGGACGTCTAAATTTTGCACAACAACTAAACTAAAATGGTCTATTATTTAGCCATTGAGCTCAAATACACCCAATGAATTATCAAAAATTTAAATAAAAATACTTTTGTGGGCAATCTAGTTTAGTAAGACATGCTGCCTTCTACCCAGCGATCAGCAATATTGTCAGATTTTTGATCATCAGTTGGGTGTTTTTCAGCCAGTGGTCAGCTTTTATATTGCCATCGTAAAATGCCAGATTTGTAATGCGAATAGGCATTTTGTAACAACAGGTCACGTGACCCTCCCCCCCCCCCCCCGTAAAAAGAGATGTTTTGTCAAAATGAACACCAGAAATGGAAAGAGCACCTTGATATTAGTAAGAAGGCAAAGTTTCAGCTTAACATGTATTCATTTTTACACAACGTCTCTTTTTACTGGGGGTAGGGTCATGTGCCCTTTCGCTACAAAATGCCTATTGCACTGGCACCAGCACATAGTTATGAACATGGTGGTAACCACTTGTCAATTATTGACAGTTGTAATGATTGTTCATATAGTACAAGACTTAACCTTACAATTCAATGTTCAATCTGACAAAACCAAGCTGTGTATGTATATATATATATACATGATTCAATTTGGTAATTATTGTTTTACAGCACATTTGATGATCATAATAGACTAGCAGAAAAGTACCAAAGCCCAATTATTGAGAATACTGTAGCCTGGTTGGATGCTGAAACTGGTAAAATACTGAGGGAATGGGGAGCTGGAAAGTAAGTGTGCCTTGATGGAAATTCAGTAGAGTGAAGACCAGGAACTGATCATTACCGTAAATCCTCTATTTAGCCCCCCCTCTCAAATAAGCCCCCCCTCTCTAATAAGCCCCTCCTTTTTAAAGGAAGAAATTTGTTAAGCCCCCCTTCTCTTTTTAGCCCTTCCCCTGCTCCCCCTCCCCCTTTTACAGCTAAAGAATCATGTGTACTGATTAAAGGTGTTTTTTTAAAGTCTTGGTTCAGAACATTTTTTTTAGCTGCTTTGTTAATGTTACTGTGTTTTAGTTTTGCTATTCACAATAATCGTAAATTATACTTGAGAGACTAACACAGGTGAATCAAATAATAAAAATGCCATGTACATCACTACAGATTATGCGAGACGGTCAATAGTAATGCTTCCGTTTAATCCTAAGTTTCAATCATATTACATACTGCGTTTCGACTAAATCAATAATCCCTCCCTCTCAATTAAGCCCCCCCTCTCCAATAAGCCCTCCCTCAAACGTGCCTGAAATAAATAAGCCCCCCAGAGGGCTAAATAGAGGATTTACGGTATTTATCAACTGGAAGAGGGGTGAATCTCCACATCTTTTTCAACTTCTCTCTGTTCTGTGCTTTTTTAGTTTTACAGCCATTCTCAATCACACGCACCGCTCTAGCGATTGTTTCTGTCTTGATGAAGAAACTTTTGGTAGATGTCAATCAAGGCATTTCCATGACCTTCTATAGGCATATGCCCTTATAGCATTGTATTTTCCGACAATTTTATGGAAACGCCTTGTGATTGAGGTCCACTGAAACCCTCTTCGCTAGAGGGCGTGTGTGATTGAGAATGGCTGTAAAAACCCATAATATGGAGCACTCATGGGGTAAAGGGTACACCTTCGAGCGTCTTATACATGAACCCATGGCAGTTGCAACATTTTAGCAACCACTCCCAAAGGTTTTGAAGTAAAATAAATTACCTTTAACCCATTTTTACCTAAATATAAAAATTGATACTGATTACATGGAGGATGGAAATTCAAAATGCTGTGACAAGGCGGCCCCTCAAAAATGGAGTGTTTTCAAACGAGGGGACAGCTCATGCAGGCTGCAGTGATCGATTGATTGGTAGATAGATGGATGGTCATTGATTGATTGATCAATCGATAGAAGCATTGGTACCTTCAATATTCAAATTTTTTTTCTTTTAAGGTTTTACCTCCCACATGGATTAACTGTTGATAGAGATAATAATTTATGGCTGACAGATGTAGGATTGCACCAGGTTTTCAAGTATGGACCAGGCGGTAGTGATGAAGCTCTTATCACTTTAGGAACCAAGCTTATCCCTGGAGATGGCTGGAACCAGTTCTGTAAACCAACTGGTGTGGCCATTGACTCTGATGGAAGCTTCTTTGTCTCTGATGGGTAAGATCCTTATAATCATGGTTGTATGACACCAACAATGATGTGACGGGGTTGGCCCATTTTGTGTGCTATCATTTTGAAAGAATTTAAGTTTCTAATATTTTTATAAGATTTGAGTGATGCATCTTGGAGATATCAAGGTTTATACTTCCAGTATGCTAATGAGTGTGATGTCATAATAGACATTTGGGTTTATTTGTCATCATTTTAAAATCAAAACACTGATTACTATGAGGAAACAAATTTGCAATAACCTTTCTATAAACGCTGAGTAAGATGATTATGTTTTATACAGGATATTTTACTATCCCAGTAAATTTTCGTATATTTAATAATGCCTACTATGACATCACACTCATTAGCATACTGGAAGTATAGACCTTGATATCTTCAAGTCGATCACTCAAATCATATAAAAATATTTTACTATTTAAGTTTTARCTTCATGTAGAATCAATGCTGAAAATATTGAGTTAGGGGTCATAGGCACTTTAAGTGAACTTGGTTCAAAATAGGAAAATACTATGCCCAAACGTATTTAGTAATTAATTAAGGTATTAGGATACGTTTACGACCACTATGCGCGCAAACTTAAATAACGCTCTTGCTTTATAGTATAACACAAACAAAGTATACATTTTCTGAAAGCTGAGTAAATATAGTTTATGAAGAAATTTTCAAAATACGATTTTTT